ATTAAAAACATCAATATTTTGTTTAGTTTTTGACAATCTCAGCATGAAATTTATCTCAGTGTAATAAGACTTAATATTTATATGAAACCTGGGTTGTGATGCCTTATAGTGCATATTTTTAAAAGTTTAACCAACCTAAGACTATTTAAAATTAAATTCTCTAAGCAAAACAGTAATTTATAATAAAATTATATTTCAACTGGGAGCTGTTTTAAAGCACTGAATTGAGAATTGTTACTAAAACTATCATTTAATGAAAAACTACCTGATTTTCAGTTGTAGTAAATATTCTATTATGTTTAAGTATTTTTATTATAATGGCATGTTTCAAATAAACTCAATCACATTTAGTGAGTACATATTTTATGAAAGGCATTGGATGGTAGGTGTAGAGCAGTGAGGGATATAGAAATTACTAAGACTTCTGTTTCCTGAGATATGGCAGACTAGGTACCATAACCAACCCTCCTGCTGAAAACAACCAAAAAGGGTAGGGTATAATATTAAAGAAAGACAAAATCTTTTTAAATGTATTAATCATTTTCAAATACTCAATGGCCAAAATCTAAGAGATAGGAGGAACCTAGAGGGTAAATTGAGCATTGAAGGTGGCTTTTGACTTACTTGAGTGCATTTACTTAATCTGAAAAAACTTACATGTTGATTTTTATTACTTCATGAAAATGCAGGAATAGAAGACAAAGCCAGAAACTGCCTAAATAGAACATCTACTAGATTAAGTTACATAAAAGTGCTGTTCTCTCCATGTCAGGTAAACTAGGAAGAAATTGTCCTCTCCAAGGGACTGAAAAGAAACTGTGTTCAACTTTGGTGGTGGGAGAGGGTGGGAAATACCCTCTGAAATTTTGGAACCACAATTAAGGCAATGTATACCATTATGTGAAGTTGCAGAACACTGAAACTAAAAAGATCTTAATTGAAGCCAGGGAGGAAATTTTACCTGCAGAGGAACAACAGTTAGACTGAGAGTTGACCTTGAGAGTAACAACGGAAACCCCGCATTCAGAGGAATGATGATTTCAATGGGCTAAGAAGAGATGACTGTGATTCCTGAAGTATAGTCACCTAAAAATCTTGGAGGAAAAAAAGTGAAATCCCGCCTCCCCGCCCCCTTTTTTTAAGACAAAGAGAAAGAGATAAGAGTTTGCCACCAACAATTCTGAAGGATATGCGTCAGGAAAAAGAAAAACTCTATCCTAGTTGAAAGATAGAAGATACCAAAAAATAAAGAGCAAAGCAGATGGGAAAATCTAACAGGCATTGACTATAGAAGCCAATGATAATGTTTTGTGCAGTTAAAAATGTAAGCCAAATAAAACCCACATATATAATAACAGTGGCATCTAATTGGGTAAGGATTCTTACAAGATTCTTATAAGAATCTTTTAGGAAGAATTGTAAAGATTTACTTAATTTAGATTTTTCTTTTACATATCCATGTTAAAACCTTAAGGGTTACTATTAAAAGACTAGAAATAGACTATGAAATCTGTAAACCATAAAATGGAGAAATAGAATTGAAGATAATTAAAGACATGTTTGTTTGTTTTTTCCCTTTGCGGCTCTTGGTACCTACTAAGCAGTGGCGGAGACAGGGAGTAACTTTGGGGGGCTCTCTTTGCCCCAGTTTATGAACCACACAGATTTGCTTGGCTTAGTGTTCCTTCCCACCCCTCACCTCAAAGCTTGAGTTGCTTTGATTTATTTCCAGACTGGAGAAACCTAGCCAAGGCTCATGGCCTTCCCGCAGGTGTCTGCTGCCAATGCTACCACTGCCACCAATCGAGGAGCCTCTGGAAGGGGGCCAGCTGACAAGCAGAGATGACCACGCCTGAGTGCTTGCAATACCTCGCCTTGGCACTCTCTGGCTTCCTTAGCATGTGCCTGGAAGGGCCAGGTAACTCAGACCCACTGTGTGTGGGAGTTACCAACACTTGGAATGAACATTAACCAAGGAAAGGCTGGAGACAGGAAGAAACTAGCAGATTGTTCTTTGTATTTTCTTCCAAGGCTCAGTAATTCCAGACTATGGACATATCCTGAGAGACTGAGCTAAGCTGTAGTCAGCTTGGTTACAGACCCTCTTACATTAGTGCTCCCTCCTTGAATGACTGACTTCCTTTTTTTCTCTCACTCATGCTTTCCTGGGATTGCACCCTTTTGATAACATAAACATTTGTCTTAAGCTGTGTTCAAGTGATGCCAGGCTAAGACACAACTTTTAGACACCTCTCCATAAGCTTCATTAGCAAATCCTCCAGAAACCATTCAAAATAAACATGAAAACTAAATAATAAAAAATATCCTACCTGTGCATATGCAGCTCTAAGTTGATTTTCTATCTCTTCCTCCCTTTAACAAAATTGATGCCATCTTCTGAGCTCTTGCCATATAGAAATTTGGAGTCCTGGTAGTAGAAAAGATAAGCAATACACTTGAACACCTCTCATCCGAGATAAAAGTATGGTAAGTTCTATAGTAGAGGCACAAAATATGTTTGAGAAACAGACTAGTCAGCCAGGTTTGGCGGAGTACAGGGTATGTTGGTGAATAGTGAAAGGTTAAAATGGAAAGGTTGTCTTGAGGTTTCAATATCACAGACCTGGAATTGAAGGCTAGGTGCCTGAATTTTATTTAATGGATGATGGGAAGTCAATTAAAAGTTTTTAACAATAGAGTGACAATCAGAAGAAGATAACACGTTACAAATATATAGAGATGTGTATACACATACACACGTTTGTACATACATGTATGTATTTGAGACAAGGGTTTACAAAAATGTATCCCCCTCTGCAATAGAGTTTCATCTTCAATTAGTTCTCTTACTTTGCTTCCCTGGTAACCTGGCAGAGATTATCACGATGTTTCTAGGCAACATTGCTTCTGATAAAAATGACCTGATTGGTAAAATGCATGTGCACTGGGAGAAAGAATAAATAAACCCTAAGTGCAGTGATTCTTAACTTAGCATGTCCCTTGTGGGGGCCCTGGAAGCTATGCCTGTGGAGTTGTTAGACAAGGTATGGGCACCTGTGGGACGTGGGGCTTTTAAGCCAGGACAGCTCCACCTGCCCAATGTGAGTCTCATCCTGAATGGACTATCAGAAGGCCTTCCATGAATGAGCAGTGTCTCACCCTGCCCTCTTGGTAAGCTGGTTCCTGTCCTGTGTAGGTTGGTGACAAATGTGATCTGCTTGAATGTTTAGTTAAATCAGATGAAAATCAAACGGTGAAAAGAACACTTTAAGACCAAAATTATAAAAGTGATATGACTGACCATAAGAACATTGTGAAATATGTATTTAAAAAGATACTTCAAATGAATTCAGAAGACAATTTAGGAAACATTTATAAATCAGATGGAAGATAAAGGGTTAATAACTATAATATATGTCTTGTTAATGAGAAAAATATAAATAATACAATAGAAAAAAGGGGGGCAAAAGCTAAGAATAGGCACTTAACAGAAAAGCAAAACCAAATGGTGAATAGACAAATGGAAAGATGCTCAATTGTTAAGAGATCAAGGATTACACCACAACATCGCATCCCATGCCAGGCTAATAATAACACTTCTTGTGGGAGTTTGGTGGAGGGCCATGGTAGTAGTATTTACTAAAATTAATAATTTCCCTACTCAAACCTATCCATTCCTCTGGTACTACCTCTAATAGTAAAACCACATTATGAAAATAAACAAGGATGTTTATTGAATGTTGTTATTACTGACAACAATGTGAATGCCCAATAGTTGGTAATAGTTGAATAAAGGATGACACATCTATTCCGTGTACCACTTAGCAGCCTTTAAAAATTATATCTCTACCACTTAACTTGATGGTATTCCCTTTGAAGTAGACGTATGTGGAGAGTAAGGGGGCAGAGATGTGTATACATATAATCCTGGATATATAAATAATTATATAGGTTCCTTTTGAGGGAGTGGTTGGGCAGTTGGTGGAAGGGGTAGATGAAGAATGACATGAAAAAATGATACCACAAAAGATAATCCTATTTGTGTAAACTTTTGTGCTGGTATATGTATAAAGAGATACAGTATGCTTATTTATCAAAATATTAAATGGCAATTATCTGAAGACAAAGTTTCAGGTAATTTTTAATGTGTTTTTTTATACTTGTATGAATTTAAAAAAAATACTTGTATTTAAATATCTATTATGTAATTATATTACATATAACTTATAGCACAATGAAAATATATATATTCAAATAAAGGAAAATCAAAACATCGATTTTATTAGGGAGAGAGGCATTTACTAAGTGCCTTCTGTAAAGTAGTTTTCCCTTATCCACATTTTCTCTCTCTGTGGTTTCAGTTGCCCAAGATTAACCATGATCTCAGAATATTAAATGGAAAATTCAAGAAATCAACAGGGAGTTCTAAATTGTGCTCCATTCTGAGTAGCATAATGAAATCTTGCACTGTCCTGCTCCATCCTGCCCCAGATGTGAATCATCCCTTTGTTTGGCTTAACTATGCTCTCTCTATACCCCACCCACTGAAGTCTCACAGCTCATAACTTGGACCCATGTCTTTCTAACCATAGTGATAATTGCATTTTACATGCGTTTCCTCACATACCACATATCTTCCTTTATTTAACATGAAGCTGTTCTGTCCTAGAAGGAGCTGTGTATATGTAATAGAATATGTCATTTACTCTTAACAGCTTTAAGGGAGAATTGAGGTATTGTATATTACAGGTTTTTACTTCCAAAATTAAGTTTGAATGAGTAAATACTGAGAGTTCCTGAGAAGCTGTATAAAAGCAAAACTATTAATGTTTTATGTAGTGTGTGTAAGTTTCTGTTTTTTTAAGAATAATATTTACCTTTGAGCCCTATTTCTGCATAAATATAATACATTTATTTCTTTTTAAATTTAGTCAACCAAAAGTAGAATTTCAACAATTCCATTGCATTCATTTTAAAACTTTTAAATTCTTTATCTTTAGGTTATCTTCATTGTAATGAGTATGATAGTCTGAGATTGAGGTGGCTGAGGCAGACGTTAGAATCTTTCATCCCGGAGCCTTTGGAAAATGTAATTAAAGTGTCTGAATTGGATGGCAGAGAAATGGGAGATGCCCAGCCTGAAAAGTTTGACAAGGTACTTTATTACATTGTGACAAACGGATGGACTCCCAGTGACACCACTGTTGTGTTGTTTTGTTTTGTTTTGTTTTCCATCTGTTTTCCAGACAGAGCCTGATACAGTTTCTTAGTACCCTGGGAAATTCTGATAAGTGAACCTGGAAGTAGTTTTCATTTGATGGTCAGCATGGTTCAAAGGAAGCGGTAACATTGGGATTGGAGATTAGAGAATGTTTTTAATTTCCAGTTACTTCAAAGATATTTAGGAAAAGATCAGATATTACTTGTGTCACTATACAAACATGTGCATTGTATTGCTCCAATTTGGTAACATTTCATATCAGAATATGATAGTTGAAGAAAAAGAACATTTCAGTAAACTGAAATTGAAATATTAGTTACTAAAAATAAATGCTGAGAATGCAGAAATATAATATCTGTTTAAAATGAGTCACTTTAATAAAATCTTTTGCTATAGTTGTCAAGTATATGAAATATTAGTGGACATTAGTAGATTTTTAGTTCTTCC